CCATGATGTAACATTGTCCAATGGGCCATGATGTAACACTGTCCAATGGGCCATGATGTAACACTGTCCAAATATGGGCCATGATGTAACGTACTGTCCAAATATGGGCAATGATGTAACGTACTGTCCAAATATGGGCAATGATGTAACGTACTGTCCAAATATAGACAATGATGTAACGTACTGTCCAAATATGGGCAATGATGTAACGTACTGTAATGATGTAACGTACTGTCCAAATATGGGCAATGATGTGACATAGTGTCCAAATATGGGAAATGATGTATCGTACTGTCCAAATATGGGCAATAACGTAATGAAATGTCCAAATATTGGAAATGATGTAACATACTGTCCAAATATGGACAATTATGTAACGTACTGTCCAAATATGGACAATGATGTTACATACTGTCCAAATATGGGCAATGATGTAACACTGTCCAATGGGCAATGATGTAACACTGTCCAATGGGCAGTGATGTAACACTGTCCAATGGGCAGTGATGTAACACTGTCCAATGGGCCGTGATGTAACACTGTCCAATGGGCAATGATGTAACACTGTCCAATGGGCCATGATGCAACACTGTCCAATGGGCCATGATGTAACACTGTCCAATGGGCAATGATGTAACACTGTCCAATGGGCCATGATGCAACACTGTCCAATGGGCAATAATGTAACACTGTCCAATGAGCCATGATGTAACATTGTCCAATGGGCCATGATGTAACACTGTCCAAATATGGGCCATGATGTAACGTACTGTCCAAATATGGGCAATGATGTAACGTACTGTCCAAATATAGACAATGATGTAACGTACTGTCCAAATATGGGCAATGATGTAACGTACTGTAATGATATAACGTACTGTCCAAATATGGGCAATGATGTGACATAGTGTCCAAATATGGGAAATGATGTATCGTACTGTCCAAATATGGGCAATAATGTAATGAAATGTCCAAATATTGGAAATGATGTAACATACTGTCCAAATATGGACAATTATGTAACGTACTGTCCAAATATGGACAATGATGTTACATACTGTCCAAATATGGGCAATGATGTAACGTACTGTCCAAATATGGGCAATGATGTAACGTACTGTCCAAATATAGACAATGATGTAACGTACTGTCCAAATATGGGCAATGATGTAACGTACTGTAATGATGTAACGTACTGTCCAAATATGGGCAATGATGTGACATAGTGTCCAAATATGGGAAATGATGTATCGTACTGTCCAAATATGGGCAATGATGTAATGATATGTCCAAATATTGGAAATGATGTAACATACTGTCCAAATATGGGCAATTATGTAACGTACTGTCCAAATATGGACAATGATGTAACATACTGTCCAAATATGGACAATGATGTAACATACTGTCCAAATATGGACAATGATGTAATGAAATGGCCAAATATTGGAAATGATGTAACATACTGTCCAAATATGGAGAATATTGTAACATACTGTCCAAATATGGACAATGATGTAACGTACTGTCCAAATATGGGCAATGATGTAACATACTATCCAAATATGGGCATTGGTGTAACATAATTTCCAAATATGGGCAATGGTGTATAGT